AACGTAGCTGAAGTTCGAAGTACCTTAGTTCGATCTTACCTCGGTCCACCCGCAGCAGGCAGGCTCCCCCGTCAAACCCGCGGTACTCCTCTCGCCGAGCTGGAGTACCGCAGTCGACGGCGAGGACTTCCGGGTTCGACTTATCGCGTCCAGACAAGACGCAATAAGTCGAACCCAGAAGTTCGATTGCCAGCAGCCGAACTAGCGGCTAGGTATAGACGTACCCTTAGGGAAGATTCAAGAAACAGACTTTAGTACTGATACATGTTGCGTTCCAGTAATCATAGTTCTCAATCCAGCTACTGTAGTCTCAATTGCTCTGTATTTGAGTCCCTAGCAAGTTTTTTTTATTTTTTCACAATCTGCTCCTTATTCCGTTAATTTAAATTATATTTAGTCAATCCCTTCTTTATGCTGTTATTCCAGAATATCAGGTGCCAAAGATAAAAGTAACGAATTGCATCCAGTAAACCTTTTTGTTTGTTGGCTTTTTAAGCAAACCTTTCCATTCTGGGCTATTTTCATCTGTAGGAACCCTGCCTACACTGTTTGATCACCCACCTAACTTTTTTCCTGTGATCCTCAATGACTTCAACATGCTTTTCTAGAAAACTGTCTAGAGAACACAAAGGATGTGTCTTGTAATTTTCGAAATCTTTTGTGATATGTAAAGAGGCTATTGATGTTTGTTACAGAATATGCTGAGTTCCTACACTGCAAAGGGAGGAAGTTTACAGATTTTGATGAAGTTCGTCAAGAAATTGAAGCAGAAACAGACAGAGTGACCGGACTGAATAAAGGCATTTCTTCAATTCCTATTAATTTAAGAGTGTATTCCCCACATGGTAGGTAAAGTCATTCTACTCTGTATTCCTGTAACTAATATTATATATTCTGTTTGTTCTCATTGCTTGACCAAAAAATTCCAGAGAGACACTATTGCTAATATTGACTTTGAATGAAAGTTTTGAGGGTGTATAATTCATGTAACAGTATGTGTTCTGAAAAGGCTTCCTTTTGTTAGATTACTCCCTTTCCTGAACTTTCAACCCTGTCTATGCGAGGAAAGTGACGTATTGTAGACAATGGATTGTCATCAACTGGCATAGAAAACGGTTAACAGTGCAGAGAGGACTAAACCATTTTAATCCTCATTGAAGAAAACTGGACTTCAGATGATCATCATATGCAACCCAGTTTTCAGACAGGCTAATTTGGACATGAAGCCATATCCACAGACGCACTGAAATTTCCACTATAGCATGAAAGCTACATCCTGTAATGGTATTACAAACTGCATGAGGTAGACACGTATCCTAAGGCAATACACAGATAAGTTTTTATAAAAGTTTTGAGTAATCTGATGAAACTGCTTCAGTTTCAGCTAATTCTTAATTTGTTAGATATCACATGTTTAGACATACTAGAATATAAGGAGTTTATGAAAGCTGACAACTCTGCCTATGTTGCTTTTGGGATATGCATCCCTGCTTTGGTATTTCAGAATAACTAGTGAAAAAATATTGTTGTATTTCTTCTCCATTAACCTAGATAGGTCAGTTCTATATGAGATGATGAAGTGCAAAATTGAGTCTGCATTTTTAAAATAATAATCATATGATCTCCAGATAAACTCTCACCTACCTTTTAACAGAATTTTGTATTTTGTATTTTTTAACTTTTTGATCCGGAGATCCCGAAGCACTTTTGTAAATGTTAAGTATTTAGCTCCATTATAAATTTGTAGTTGTTGAAAATGTCACTTGGATGTCCCAAGACAATGCCTTTGATCTACTCAAGTTTTGATAAACTTAGGCATCGTAGGAACTTGTTGTTACAGCAGATACTGCTCTTGTTTTAATATTCTCATCAGTGGGAGTGTGTCAAGCTGCTCTATGTGGCATGGTTGCCACCAATATAGACCACATAGCATTAACTTCTCATGTGTCGGGTAGCTGGCAACCAATCGGGAGAAAATATGATTCCCCAGTTGTTTTCTCTTTTGCACATTAAAACAACGTATGCTGTTTGCTGAGGTGCCATTTTTTCTGTCTTCATCAATCCATATCATCTTGATCATGAACTGAAGAGCAAAATAATAGAAGTAGGGGAGGATAAGAAGAAGGTGCTTTATCTATAATCAATCTTTTCAGTCTTAGTGGGTTCGTTCTGTACTTGTGGCCCTGGACCTTGCTTCAGTCTTGTGTGGGCCTGCCATAGCCTGTGGGAGCCAGGCTCAACTGCGTGACCATGATTCATAGCTCCCCAGTGGAACAAGCTGATTCTTTGGATATCTAGAAGAGCAATCTGAGCAAGAAGAAAGTTGGCTGTTACCACCCAAGGAACAGATCTTGGAGTCACTGTGGATAGTTCTTTGAAAACTTCTGCTAAATGCACTGCAGCAGTCAAGTAGGCTAACAGTATTCTAGAAAGTGTTAGGAAATGGATAGAAAATAGGATCGAGAATATCATAGTGCCACTATATAAATACATGATGTGCCTAGGCCTTGAACATTGTGTCCAATTCTGGTAGCCCAATCTCAAAAAGGATATAGTGGAACTGGAAAAGGTTCAGAGAAGGGCAACAAAGATGATCATAGATGTGGAACAGCTTCCATATAAGGAGGGACTACAAAGGTTAGGGCTGTTCATCTTAGAAAAGAGACAACTTGGATTCACTAAGGGCAAGTCATGCCTGACCAACCTGATTGCCTTCTATGATGAGATAACTGGCTCTGTGGATATGGGGTAAAGCAGTGGACGTGATATATCTTGACTTTAGCAAAGCTTTTGATATGGTCTCCCACAGTATTCTGCCAGCAAGTTAAAGTATGGATTGGATGAATGGACTAGAAGGTGGATAGAAAGCTGGCTAGATTGTCGGGCTCAACGGGTAGTGATCAATGGCTCGATGTCTAGTTGGCAGCTAGTATCAAGCGGAGTGCCCCAAGGGTTGGTCCTGGTGCTGGTTTTGTTCAACATCTTTATTAATGATCTGGAGGATGGGATAGATTGCACCCTCAGCAAGTTCGCAGATTACACTAAACTGGGGGGAGAGGTAGATATTCTGGAGGGTAGGGATGGGGTCCAGAGTAACCTAGATAAATTGGAGGATTGGGCCAGGGGAATCTGATGAGGTTCAACAAGGACAAGTGCAGAGTCCTGTACTTAGGATGGAAGAATCCCATGCACTGCTACAGGCTGGGGACTGACTGGCTAAGCAACAGTTGTGTAGAAAAGGACCTGAGGATTACAGTGGATGAGAAGCTGGATATGAGTCAGTAGTGTGCGCTTGTTGCCAAGAAGGCTAACGGCATATTGGGCTGCATTAGTAGGAGCATTGCCAGCAGATCAAGGGAAGTGATTATTCCCCTCTATTCGGCACTGGTGAGGCCACATCTGGAGTATTGCGTCAGTTTTGGTCCTCCCACTACAGAAAGGATGTGGACAAATTGGAGAGAGTCCAGCGGAGGGCAACAAAAATTATTAGGGGGCTGGGGCACGTGACTTACGAGGAGAGGTTGAGGGAACTGGGCTTGTTTAGTCTGCAGAAGAGAAGAGTGAGGGGGGGATTTGATAGCAGCCTTCAACTACCTGAAGGGGGGTTCCAAAGAGGAAACTGTGAATAGAGAAGTGTTGTTTATTCTTTCATCCAATACAAAAACTGGGGGTCATTGAATGAAATTAATAGGCAGCAGGTTTAATACTCACAAGAGGAAGTAATTTTTCACACAGCTATCCTGTGCAACTCATTGTCATGGGATATCGTGATGGCCAAAAGTATAACTGGGTTAAAAAAAGAACTGGATAAGTACATGGAGGATAGATCAATCAATGGCTACTAGCCAAGATGATTAGGGATGCAACCCCATACTCTGGGTGACCCTAAACCTCTGACTACCAGAAGCAAGGAGTGGAAGACGGGTGGATTACTCTGTGATCACTCTGTAATCACCCTGTTCTGTATGCACCCCCTGAAACTCTGGTACATGCCTCTGTTGGGCAAGATGGACCCTAGTCTGACCCAGTATGGAATCTCGTGTGTTCCTATGGGATCTTCTGCCTGGAGTTTTGGTGTCTTTCCAGTGGGGTAATCCAGTGGGCCAACTCTCCCATCCCCATTTTCTGGCTCCCAGCAGCTGGTGAGCTCACTGTCTCCAAGTTGATCCTATGGGAGGGGTGTGTAGTAGGATCAAAATATGAGTATGCCGTCTCTCTTTTTCTCTGCCACACACACATCTTCTCACTCTGATAATTTCCTGCCCCTGTGAGTGGTCAGATTAGCTATGACAGAATTCCATCTCCTGCAAATATCGTGGCATTGATGCATGCTCATCTGATTGGGCCACGCTGCAGTGGTTTCTTAGCTGAACCTTTGGGGGGGGAGGCGGGACAGGAGAGGAATGTATTGGCCTTCCTTAAGGTACTCACACTTCTGTTCAAGTGGGCTGAGGAAAAACCCGGGATCTTTAAAAGCTCTGCTTGTTTCAGACTTACTCTTCCTTTAGGCATACTGATTAAGCAGGGCTAAAATACACCTGGGAGAATGGGAAATCACAAAAGTGTTTGAGTGACTCGCTTCCTGGACATGACTGTCAATAAATCTGTCCACTCCTATCTCTAATCACCTGCTTCACAGGTACGGATGTCTAAAAGTCTTGTTTTAAGGTCTTTTATTTTTGCAGTCTTCTGGATTTGGGAAACAGCCTCTGTCATCTCACCTCTGCTCCTAAAATGGGTAGTCATAAAGAAAAAATGATGACCTCTTGAGGTCCCTTCCAGTCCTATGTGCCAACATGGGCACAACTCTTTTGAAAATTCTGCCTTTAATGTTTAATTATGATCTTACAGATATATAATTGGAAGGTGATTATGCCAAACAATGTAATTTGTAGGTTGTGACAAGCAGTTCCAAACTGGAACAAAACCAGATTTCATAATGTTGAAATCTTCTGTGACATGGAATTGCCAATCTTGGCACAGCTCTAGTTGTGTGTGCTTATCAAATAATGTTCAAAAGCCTTTGAAAACTGATACATCTACAGTATTCGAATTATGGCTCCCCCCTAGAACTTCAGACTTGGATCATCTTTTTATTCTCTTTAGGTGTGTAAAGTGTTAACAACAAGCCTTTTGGTCTTATGCTCTTTCTCTTTAGTGCTAAGCCTGACCCTTGTTGATTTGCCTGGAATCACTAAAGTGCCAGTAGGGGATCAACCTCCAGATATAGAGCAACAGATCAGAGACATGATTATGCAGTTCATTTCTCGTGAAAACTGTCTGATTCTGGCGGTGACTCCAGCCAACACTGATCTTGCCAACTCAGATGCATTGAAGTTAGCTAAAGAAGTAGACCCTCAAGGTAAGTGTGAGTGGATGTAAACCTTTCCTGCTCTCAGATACCATTGATTAAAATATATCTTGTAGTTTACTGTGGTGAATCATGCATTTAACAGTGCAAGAAAACTCATTACTCATAATTAAAAATTTTGTACTGATTTCAACATCAGAAGAAGAATAGGAATTCTGCGCATGCAGCATAATTCAGTAAATTGTATTATCAACGGAAGTCTAAAAGTAACCAGTGTATGGTAATTTGAGTGAAGTATGAAATATACCTAATTGGAAATTCTTGTGACAGGGCCTCTGCCAGCCGAGAGGGTCTGTATCGCATCTTGTACCATGGGGCCTTGATGCTGATTGGGGTGCCTGGGTGCTACTGTACTATAAATGTTAGAAGGATGTTTGTTTTCTTGGCATGCCTTGCTTACTGATGTGACTATGTAATGAATCAACACATACAGCAGGAGTAAATGCAATTTGTCTTGGCAATGTAATAACACAGTGGTTCTCAACCAGATGTACACATACCCCTGGGGGTACTCAGAGTTCAACAA